GGCAAGACGGATAGGCAGGCTTGTGTCTATGAAATGCGGCTTTTTGGCGACAAAACGACTCGACTTGACCAAAGCTGAATGACCGAGTTGAGGTTGGGCAGTCGAGTCGCTCCGGAGTCGGCCGGCGCAGTGTGAAGATGGCCGAATTGGTATCCTTTTTGAGGCCAACTCAAGCGTGCTTGTGTAAGAGCCACAATCCAATTTGGTCGGAAGATGTTAAAGATGAGGACCAGTCAAAAGGGGCACATCTTTCGGCGTGCCCCATCGACGGAGCCGGGTTAGGCGAGAACCTAATAAAATTGCATTGGCGCCAAAAGTTTAGAAAAAAAAGCAGATCCATGTTGGTGAACCCTTCCTGGCCTACACAGCATTATCCTTGCCCTCTTTCCTACCTTTGCTCGACTTCATACAGAACCCCACTTCACCACCCACCCACTCCCACTCAACTCTCGACCAGCCAACAGTCGAGGACAAGATTGTGTCTCGGTCTCATCAGCTTGCCAGCCAATATGCACTTTGTTTTGGTCTTAAGCGAACTACGACTGAGCCTTCATACATCACTGACATGATGCGTTTTATTTGTTTTATTCACACCTTGACCCTTGTAGGGTTTTTGTCTTATCTTGCAGTCAGGGCCGAGACGATCGGCCGGACATATTTGGCTGAATGAACCAGTTCGAAGTGGAGCATGATGTACTTTACTGATGAATATAATAATAGAAGCGTATGAACAAAAACACATGAAATCACAACCATGTGTGTGTGTGTAAATGTGGACGTATGGGTAAGTCTCCGCATGATAGTGATTTGGGGTATGTATATATGTACATACATACCAAAAGTTGTAAATGCCCATAAAAACAACAGGCTTACAAGCAGACGCGTATGTAAACAAGAAGCATTCCCATAATACACACATGTAGAGGCTAGCATATACGGTCACATAAACGTGCACATGCACACTTCAAGTGGTGTGAAGGGATGGTGCTTTTAAATGGGCAAGTTTGAACTGAAGAGCTGGGCTCGTATGTGTTTTGTTGGATCGGAATATTGGCCCGGTTTGCAGGTCGTGAGACAACCGTTGAAGAAAATACCCACAGAGAGCGGGTTGTGTATCTTGCACGAATACGATTCTGGGTGGAGCAGACTATGACTCATCGTAACCAGATCCTGGGGAATCCGGTTTGTTTCTTGTTCCGTCGGCAAAACAGATCTTCACAGTCAGAAGTCACTAATGAAATGATACTGAAGCCGTTGACTTTCTCGTTGGGTCACGATTTCCCGTTAGGCATGACACACATTCAACAGGGTTCATTCATTGCTCGTCAACGGTTGGTATGAACCGAGTCTTGGCGGCTAATCCGGTTGCAATTGCCATTCTCGCATCTAAAACCGTAGACCAACGAGGCCAATTCTCGAGTACATTTGTATCAAATATCAACACAATTAAATTGCCAACTGAGCTGACCACAAGGAGATGAGGAGAACAATTCCATTTGCCATTTAAAGTCACCCAATTTCGTTTAAGGTGATGAAGGACTGGTAGAAGAACAATTTTCCCACAATCAAATGAGTTGAGCTGACGTTTTCATTGCATTTCACATAGCCTTGCTTTGCCAAAAGTTGTTCTTCTTCTGCCAGTCCTTCATCACCTTAAACGAAATTGGGTGAATACATATCATACTACTGATTTACTGGTAGTCACGAAAACGACATTTAATTGGAAAAATACAGCCATACAATTCCATTTACTTATTGACAGCTGCATTTGAGGGACCTATAGCGACAAACTTTACTATATTATAATGGCCTTTATTTATATGAATTATGCTATTATACTACTGAATTCATAAATGAGGCTAAGTTGTCCCGAAAGTTGATGGCTATCATTATTTATTTAGTGAAAGTCGCCTGAGTAGATTAGGCGCCAGCCCATCGTCGGTATAATTTATGTGCAGAAGTCAGCTCTGCAAGATGCATACACGCATAAAATGCATGTGCCTGAATGTTTGCAGTTGTAAGGATGTGTGGCAATGCCCACTTTTGTGTGAAACACACAGACTTACACTTGACTCTGTATATATATATATATATATATATATATATATGTGTGTGTGTGTGTGTGTGCGCACACATGTGGAGGTATGTTAATTAAAAATGGGGCCCGATCTCGAGAACGAGCGAGGCTGAAAAGGGAAAGTGACAGCGGGACATACAGACGACAGGTAATTAAGTGAACCAGTTAAGAGCTGGGCTCGAGGGTGGAGATGGCAAAGTGGGGAGTGACAGAGTGCCAGAGGCAGAGAGCAAGTACTCGTTGAGAGATCGCCTAAACAGACCGCAAATTCGAGGCCCTTTCGGTTGACAGGACGTACTTGGTGCTCGAATGAAAAGTAGTCGCATTAACTTTGTTGTCACGAGAGCGTGTACTGTCAAGTTGGAGGAGAGTTTCGGTTGAACTGCATTTGGCATCTGGCCCGAGGCGCCATGGTGTCCGCCAGATTCAACTTTCCATCTGAGCTTCGGTTGAATGTAGCTTCAATCCGACGACAAGATTCAGTTGGTGATGACTTTCGCTTTCATCTCGTCCAGGACTCATCATGGCCAAGACAGGACTCGAGCTTCGTCCAGGCATGACTTGCAAAGGGTGTCAGGCATTTGTCATCTCGTTGCTGCCGTCCATTAAAATCTCAGTTTCCGCGGCCAACGCCGCGT